ACATCATTATAGTCTACAAGTTGTAAACTTACTTCTTTGCCCCCATACTATAATACTAATTTTTTTGTTTCTTGCAAGTCACAAAATATTTGTTTAATACCTTGCTAATGCAAAACACATGAGTGTGCTATGTATTGATCAAAGTATTGATAAGAAAATGAAATGTCATATCTTATACCATTTGCAAGGTATAATAATGAATTTAAAGCTTTTTAATAAAGCTTTATATCTTTTATATCAAAAAGATTGTTATTTTTATACATAAAGAGATGACTTTATACCATTGGTGTTGCAACTATCTTTGCATATTTTATTTCAAATTTCATCTAAATTTGGACAAATATACTTAGTTTGGCTTATACTAATAGTTCCATTATTCTTGTCCTCTAAAAAATCAATGCAAAAAAAATGACTAGGTGCATCAAGGTCTTTTATCTTGTAGCACCCTTGCAATTTGTCATTGTATTTTACAAGGATTCCAAAGTTCTTACTATTGATCAGTATATTATTAATATAAATAATTAGTACAAGAATTAATCATTATATATATATATATATATATATATATATAGTGTAGAAATAAAGATCTAGCTTTAAACACTCTTAATCAAGATTCAATAAAGATTTATCTAAATTTTAGTTCCATTCGCATTTAGATTATTTTAAGCCATACAAGGTCTTTTGTAATTGCAATACCTTGTATTTGTGTTCAAGTAGAACTTCCAATCCTTTTTGAAACTTCATATATATATATATATATATAAGTTTACTATTTAAATAACTTAAAATAATATCAAGTTATAATATATTCCAATTAAAGACAATAGCAATTGCAATAAATATAAAAATTATTAAAAGATAGAAATCTACTACAAAAATATTTTAGAAACCAAGATCTTTCATCTAAGTAAAACCTTTTGCAACCAATTGTGCTTTACAACACTCAAAGGAGCCATTTCTAACAAATTTTTTTTTAAATTTATTTAAAATCCATAACATTTTTTTCTATTTGATAAAAATAAAAACTCCCATGTATCATGATTTTTTAAAGAATCAAGTTCTTCTTTTATGGCATGACTCCACTTCTTGCAAAGGAGTGAGTTCATAGCTTACTCAATAATTTTTAATTCTACATGTTTGTCAATATAAACAAGATCTACTATTCTAATTAAAATGTCATAATCTTCTCAAATAAAATTGTTGTCAATTTTTCAAAGTATGCAACACAACCTATTACTACTTATGATATTTTTTAAATCAATTCCAACTATATAATGATGTCTTAATAGTAGAACTTAAGTAGTTTCCTCTACTTTTGAGTGATGGAATTCCATTACTTTTATTTATATAAAATTTGCCTCCTTGTCAACTATTTTTTAACCAAATCTATTATATACATGTGATTCCAAGGCTTGAGGTTTGGATGTTTATAATCCAGCTAAATATTGAAGTTGAAACAAACCAAGTTTATTTCTATGATGTCCATCTTTTCTATTTTTTTTCTTGAGGAATTGATGGCTCAATAAGCAACTCATACTTATCATAAAAAAGATCACATCTCAACTAAGAACCATCTTTTTTTTCTTAAGTAGAAAAATCTCATGTTTTTTTGCCACATTTGAATATCAAAAAAATATATCATTTTTTATTTTTAATATTTTTTGTTGTGTATAATATCAAGAAAAATAATCAAAAGAATAAGCATATTAAACATAAGATTTCTTACCATAGAAAATCTTATGTGATATTATACCACCAAATCTTATAAATAAAAGGTAATTACAAGTTTAGGTTATAAACTTGGCAATAAACATCTAATATTAAAGATTCAACTTAGTATTGTCTAGGAGTATCTATATCCCTTTAAAGATAGTCCAGATTATATGCTTTATCATACCAACAATCTTATGTGTATATATATGATTAATCATGTGCCAAATATCTTTAGCCTTGAAATTAAAACCAAACTTATAATTTAGAAATTCAATGCTTTGATTATTGAAAAAAAATCTACTTTTCTTTTTATTCTTATTTCTCACTCTACTTTCCATGTTTTGTAAAGAATATGTATAAAGTTCTTAATCTAAAGAAATGCAAGGCTATTATAATTAGAATATTTTTCAATTTGCATAATTAATTATTTGGTGCCATCAAAACTAATTATATTAGAATAAATAAGATCAAACACTACTACATCTAAAATACTATTGACATGCTTGTATTTTTTTGAAAAAGTTGCATATAGGCCTTACCAACAATATAAAATTCTTACATTGATACCTTATTTTTTTCACCCTTAATCTTCAATCCTTCAACACTATTTATTTGCTCCATCTCTTATATCATATACATTGAAGCATATGCTAATATTTGATACTATTTGATGAGTATATGATACAAGATAAATAAATTAGCAATTACATTAATTTCTTTGATTTTACAAGATATAAAGTAAATTTTATTATTAAGCTTACCTTACATAAGTAAGTCACCTAAAAAAAGAATCCAATTGATTATATTATCTTTCAAGCTAAACTTGCAACCTTTCATATACAAGATTGTAACTAATAAGAATTTATTAAGTACTCAAAGAACTTAATGAACATCCTTCACAAGAATATGAATGTGCTTTTTTTTAGGATTCAAAAATTATAAGGTACATCTTACCTAAACCTTGTGATTTGCTAATACTACCATTATAGCCATAAAGTTGAACAATTGTATTTTTATTGAAATTGAGAAGATTACTCATGTCTCTTTAGATGTGTATATTTTTTATGCAATACAAATATAATGACATGATTGAGACAATGATATAATTATTACTTATAACTCATGTAATATCTTTCAAGCTGAGAAAACAATAACACAAATACTTATTGTACAACCACTATTTATTCTTAGACACTTTGCATCACTTTGTCAATGTTCTTTTTATCCACATGCCCTACGATTTCTTTTGGACTTATTAATTTTGAACTTCTACTTTTTTTGTGGATGGTGCTCTTTTAAGGCTTATTTTTTTCTTGCATGCATTGTGAAGGCAAAAAATTGAGAATTAGTTTTTTTTTCTTTTTTTTCTTTTTTTTTTTGTATCTATTTCTAAAGAAATATAAATTATATCAAGTTTTTTATGATCTCTTCTTACTTTCTTAATGCAATAAATTAAATAAATAGATCCTATGATTTCAATAATGTTATAAGCACAAGAAATATCATGTTTTGTTTGCTTTTTTCACCATTGGATTCAATGTATATATTTCTAAGATCAGAAATTTCTCGAAGAAAATTTTCCATAGATTCTCCATTAAGGTACCAAAGATTATGAAGTTTTTTCATCAAAATGATCTTAGTAATAATCCTTAAGGACATGTGGATCTTAGCCAAAGCATCCCATATTTTTTTTGTTGTTTTACATTTGCATATGTGAATCAATTGCAAAGATTTGATATTGAGAGCAATCAATGCTTTTGCTTTTGCCTTGCTTGACTTCCATTTCAAATTCTCATATGTACCAATAGGAAATTATTTCAATATCTTATCTACATGCATATAGAGTTTATATATGTACATCAAATGTTTCATAATAAATGTCTATGTGCCATAGTTCTTCTTATCTAAGCAATCAATCTAATGTTTGATTGAAAATAATATCATTGCTACAATAACTAATACAATAGCAAAAAGTGACAAGATTGTTCAACAATAATAATTCTTTTGGTAGCAATAGAAGAACAATCAACAAATGTTGTATAAAATGTAATATTAAAGGATGGTAATACTAAGCTATTAAAAAATAAAATAACACTTTTTAATACTAAAAATAGTAAGAAATCAACTCCAATAGAAATCAAAACTAGTAATAGCAATATGGTTCAATACGAGGGAAAAGCTCTAGTAGTGGCATGACTGTAAGGCTCTAGTAGTAACAAATTAACTACAATTCATCTGCTAGATTTTTTCATCTGAAAGATTCCATCTATTGTTATAATTCATTTAGATATTTTTCATTCATAATACTTATTCATCCACAACTTTGATACCATGTTACAAAACATATATATTCATTTGTATTGCAATCACAAACTAATCAAAATAGGGCGTTGCAAAACTCAAACGCACTAAAACAAGCGAGAAGCAATAATTTGTAGAATTTTTGTTATATGCTAGGCAAGTCCAAACTTGTGGTACAAACCATATGGTACTATTAAGCAGAAAAGAGCTAGATTTGACAATATTAGAAATGCACTTGGGATAAGCAAACCAGAGCTATAAACACAAAAAATAGCTTGGTTCTACACTTGTTCAATTTCTTGCATTGTTTCCTCTACTCAATCTTAAAAGAAATATGGCAGGTTTAGAATTAGTATAACTACTTGCACCAGATCTATGATTAATCCTCAGAGTGGCACAATGTCTGCAGACTAAGCATGTACATGTTTCTAGACATGTTGCTCTGTAGACTTTTTGCTTAAGCGTGTGGTATTAGACCCAAGGAACATTCCTCTTTGGTGGATAAGAGAAGCGGTTTTGAACTATGACAGATTCTCCACCGTGTGAAAAGTGTACCTCAACGGGGAAATATATGGTGGAGCCCACAATCTAAATTGAGCCCTAGGCCGACTTTCTAGACTGCCCCAAAATACTGGGCTGCCCAACTCGAGGGCAGCCCAACAGCAGGTTGCGCGTCATCGAACTGTCCACGCCTCATTGACATGGATGACAGAAAGGTGACGTGAAATGGTAAGAGTACAACCTGAGTACCTATCCTGCAAAATCGCTTTTCTGACATCGACTAAAAAATAAAAATTGTGAAGCATACCTTAAATGATATAATTGGGTATGGTTTAAGCAATTTAAACATTTTCAAGGCTTAGATCCAGATTGGATAGACGTGATCCGAACAGGATGGACGATTCTCACTAAATCCAGGTCCATGAGTCTGGATGAATAAGCACTCTCAACAAATCAACAAACGCTTCGCAGCATGCAACAATCCATCATAGTAAAACCATGTAGATCCCTTTATTCACCCATTACACATGATCAAACAGGGACTCTGCAACCAAGCCTGATGTAAACCCGCTTCATTCTTGCAACGACAGTGTCGCACAGAGCGCTCTCGCTTGTGGATATGCAAATGGTTGTACACCCAGTCATTTCTATGCAAGCTATAGGCCTACGAGTAAACCGTAGGGCGTCATGTTGCTGCAGGTAAGGGCACCACCAGGAGACACGTTTAACTGGCGGCAGAAGTCCTGGTAGTACTTGCTGCGGTTCTCTGCCTGTGCTGGTGAATTATTGGGTCCACACTCTAAGCCTCCGTTGATGATGTTGGTGGTCGTTCCGAATCCCTGATCACCCACAATGACGGAGTGACATGATGGTTTGGGAGTGGCGGGTTCCATCCAGAACCACAAAGCCGTCTTGAATGCCAGAGTCACGTCGGTAGCAATCTTGTCTGGGTCTGCCCAGATGTTGAATCCCACTTTGGAGGACGCCAGCTTGTAGTTGTAATTCCTGATGAAGGCCACAGGTTGAGCACAACTAGTATACGATCTCTCATGTGATCTAAGATGATGTTCACAAGACGAGGTCGAACTAACTGAATCAAGGTAAATTAGAGCTAGGGTTTGAATTCAAGCGATCACCCTGACTGTGCAGCCCTTGGCACAACTACCAAATTTTCCTTAACGTTGCGGATGAGCTAGGGTGGCATTACCATGACAGTTGCAGAGGACCTCTACTGTAGTACTTCTTCCCCGGAGCGCATCCATAGCTGTCTCTCTCTCGACAGTATGAAAAAGATTTGTTGATCTCCTCAATGTAGACTAGACCTGAAGCATATCAAATGGCGGTTTCAGATTCGTAAACAGCATCCAAGTTCTCAAGCTCTTTACGCACCGACGTTGAGTAAATGTAACAGCCGTTCCCAGATCTATAATCTCGAAGAATTTCATGTGAAATATCCTACCAATCGAGAATCGTCAACTGCGGACGCCAACTACAGCAATGGCAGACTTAGTACCTTCTGTTTCGTGATTGACGTGCGCAAAGAATGCTGCAACTTCTCGCTTTTGTATTTCTGGATTTCTGGAAGATCCAAACGCGGGGTACAAAGCAGCCGCCGCTATGAAAGCCTCGTACGTATAGAATGAATTGCAGTTGGGGAACCACTTATCAAACAGGGAACTCGGAAAGAAGCTGCTAAGGCCGCTCCCTCCTGGCGAAGGAGGGCTACCGCCAGTGCAGGAGCCGCTCTGGCATCCGGTGCCACAATGCTCAGGGGTTACTCCACAATAGCCCCACTGACTGCAACAGACAGTGCTCGGCGAGCATCTAGCACCATTAGCCTGCCACCCACAGTCCTCAGCTTTGGCAAGTCCGGAGAAGCAAACCACGAGCAGCAATAGAGCAACCCTGCACGAGGTCATGGAGAGTGTCTTAATCTTCACAAACATCCCAAGTGATGATCGATAAGTTACATTCGAGGTTGGTATTTAAACCACACCCAAAAGCCTACCAGTTAAAGTGCATGCTCAACTCATTCATGACGTCATAAGCTTCAAGATAGAATTGTACAACAGTGCCAAGTCTAGACGCGTGTATGAAGAATCGATTCTATTATAAAGCACGGTACCTAACTGGTTGTCCGACAAATTGGACTCAACAGTGAAGGAATACGTTGGTTACAAGGTCGAGTTTGAATCTGCCTTTGTCATCGTTTCACATCACCTGCCCTTACAACAAGGTTTTGTTGCGTTTTTGTCACAAAGCAGGGTATTCCAAATGCTTTTATTAGTTGGAGACTATTATAGAACAGAAAAACTTATATCCTAACTCTATTGTGAAAAGAGGTGTTTGTTATGATGATGATGAGGAACTCAACAATCTATGTGCCAATTTGCAACGATGGATGGATAGATTTAGTAAAAGCCTGGATCAATTTAACATTCACCTAAATATATTTCTTTATTTATTTATTTGTTTTCACTTATTTATTTTACCTTGTGTAATGCAAGATTTTTCTTGAATTAACACCCTTACATTCTTCTTCATAAATGTCAATGTTTTAATATACGTCAAAACTCAATCACAACCTGTTCAACTCAAATCAATCGAGACCTGATTCCCAAGACACTCTTGCAAATCAAAGCCTGCGATTTCTTTTTTGTTGTTGGCTTCAAAACTACAGAGGATACGAGGCCCCATGAACACCAATTTTGAAGCAACGCAAAGTGGCGTTGCCTCAGCTTGCCTAAAGTTGCCTTTGCTAAATACAAAAATAGTCAGGAATAAATCAACCACTAAAGCACAACTGGTCACCTGAGCAAACAGCCAAGAGGACCTCACCTGCCGAGCACTAACTTCCGCACAGAATCGTTGAACGCCCTTTATAACACAGTATCACATCCACCTCAAGAAACTTATCCTCAAATAGTGGTAAGAATTGCACCCGTTGTGCTCCTTCCACTAGGTCTGCAGCACCTCTCTCGCTCTATGAAAGTTGAAAATATATTGGGTTGGATTTCAATCCCATGAAAACAAAAACCAAAGTGTACATAGGGGGATAACATTAATAATCAAGACCATGCACGGATAGAGTTTTTGTTGATGATTCAGACAACAGTAAGATTTTGAACAAATTCATGAACAAGTAGAGCTTCTGAGCTTCAAATCCTTCTTCGGTTATCAAGCCGTTTCTTTTTAAGAGCAGGCTCAGTATTGTTTGATAGCTCAGCTGCAGTGTGGAAAGAACTTTCTGCATAGCGTGTCTGCTTTGTTCCAGCTACACGAGCTGGTGGTGCGCATACAGAAGATATCTGTTGATAAGACGATATCACCAATTTATCATTTATCCAAAAAAAAAAAACTAAAATGCAAAATCATCATTGCACTTCAGGTACTATTTCCTCGTTTCAAGGCATGCGCAAAAGCAATGGGTATATAGAGGGTAACAAACCTTATCAAGCTTCTGACGCACTGCTTGCACGGTTACGTCCATGGAAGGATCTCCATAGTGCTGCATTGTAAAACCAGAATGAGTACAAATTTGGTAAGCCGATGTCGTAGCTCACACGAGAATATATCATGTAGACAAGCTATCATAAATTGGCAAATTTACCTCATGTGGTGCTCTATATCGAGCATCAACTTGCGATTGAGGAAGAGGAGGCGCTCTAACAGGTTGTAACTCATACACACCCCTATTCCTGTGGGCATGCCAAACTGAATCAGAAACTTCACTTTCGTAATCAAACATAGATCTATTGTTGAAGTGTAGGACCTGACTTATTTCACACGTTCCAAATTGTACAGTTCATATGTGATAGAGGCAGGAAATAGATCAAATAATCAGAGCTGTCTCCATGTGAAAATAAGTACAGAAAGGTGACCGCATACATTGCCTTAACATGATACTCGCTTCATTGCTATACAGCCGCACGACTTCTATGTGTCCAACACATCCACAGGCAAGTGTATATAGAGTAGCCAGTAAGAAATCCTACCCAACTGGCACAGGAACGAGTTCCTGCACCCCGTCTACATTCTGTGCATCAAATACTCCAAGTAAAGGATCCCTGGGACCCTGTTGTCGCTCATGTTGCCTCTCCTCTGCCTTGCGGTTAGCTGAGGGAAGAAGTTTCAGATATTCAGTCCTCGTCAAGATCACAAAGACTTTCGGACGATAACAGCCACGCTATAAGTGGATAATTATAGAATATAATTTTCTCGTAGCTTTGATGTGTACTGCAACTTAAAAAGGCAGTACATACCAAAAAACTCCTTCAATCGTTAAACCAGCTAAACAAACATGTGTTTTGTTGCAAAACACAATCTACATCGCTTCCATACACGCGAAATGTAAAATCTTATTATAAAATTATTGAATGGGCGGGTAAGATGTGGGATAGTGATAGTTACTTTTCAGCCTGTTCGCAACAGTTCTCCGCCGTTCCTCTAATTTAACAAGAGTGTCTTGCACATCCTCAAAATTTGGAGCATACGTGACTTGCAATAGTTGTCCCAGAAATGGGTAGTCGTCAAGCTTCCTTTTGGCAAACCTTGAATACAAAAGAAACATAAATTTCTCAGACATAAGACCTTGCCATAAGTCACACATGACGAGCGAGAGAGAGGGAGAGGGAGAGGGAGAAATTTACGAAATTCATCAAAACCATCACCAAGTGCACCAAACGAAATTCGCTGAAACAGAACGGACGAGGTTATGTTACCGAGCGTTTGCTATCGACGAAAATTTGAGCCAGTAAACATCCGTGAACTCCTCACATTCCTCCTCGTCCATAAGCCTGTGCCTGCAATCAATGTCCACAAACTATCTGCATATCATTTTTACCAATTGGCAAATTCAGACAATCGCGTGCAGGAGCAAATCGACCTTTTTCTGAGAACTCAATTCTCAGGGCATCATGCATTTTATCACAGATATTGTGGTGATAGACTGAAAAATCTGCAGCACAGACTGTCGAGAATATTAAGAAGTTGGGCAATCTTACTCTTCAATTGGACCGTACAATGCAAAGAGCTTCACAAGCTCATCGACGCATCCCAATGTTGGGACATTTCTCACTATCAAATACCTGTAATATGACATCCAAATACGTCACTTGGTCAATTAGAATCCGTCGTGATCGTTCAAATATTCGCAACTTGCACGACCTAATCCATCAAGAAAACAGAGGACCTCAGAAACTCTACCCTAGCCGAGATGACGACCTGATTTCATAGAATTTGGTCGAGAATTAACCTGACCTAGACTCTTGGCAAACAGTGTAGACTTTCACTTCTCTTGAACGACGACCGCTACGATAGTCTGATCTCTCCATCGCCCAGCGCGTCGACGATTAACCCAACATTATCACTTCACTGTGAGCCACGAGCTTTGCTTGAACTCTGAATCGTCACACAGCGATCGAGTAGCCATCCTGCAACCATTGTAGATGAGCTCATGTCTTGAAAAATTGGGGCAGCCTGTTTTCCAGTCTGGTCTCCTCAGCTTCTTCGATGTGTGAGTTAAGCGCAAACACTAAACCCTACAACACCTGATAGGATAACTATCATACCAATCGACGTACTACTCTCAAAAAAAACACAGTTCTTTTAATATGTCTGTCGATTCCAGCACTAGTGATCTTCTCAAATACGCTTGCGAACATGTTGAAACATGATTTCCTGTGCAGATTGCCCCGATTTTCGTCAGCAACTGACGTAACTTACAAACTGCTGTCGACGCTATTTTAGGGTTTCCCATCGTCACAATCCAACCTCCTTTCGAGGACCCGACGTTTCTGACTCTGGGGAGCACCAGAACTTTGGGAACATAGGAAAAGCAAAAGCATGGGAACATGGGGCTTCTTGGCTTTTTTGTGTTTTGTTGCATTTAGTTGTTTCATGGTAAACAAAGAATTTTCTTCCAAAAATATTGAACTGAATTAGTTGTATAAACCCATAATGCTCACAATTTAAGCAAATACGAATTTGATTTTAAATATAGAATAATATATACAAAAAAAGAGAAATAAATAAATAAATAAATTGTTTACAAGTCACCAAATTTTTATGATTTTTACACACTATTGCAAGAACAACAATACATATATTATAAACAAATATAGGAACAAAACTTCTTTTATTTTAAATAGTTTTTGATTTTTTCAATAATAATAAACAAAGATAAAGAGGAAAAAAAGTAAAACAACATGAGTTGAATCTATTAACTCAGATAAATTTTGCAACCAAAAAATTCTATAAATTGCCACAAAAGTCTAGGTTGGAATCAAAATACTATTTTTAAAAGAATTCTAATAAAAATTGTAATTTCAAATATAAATAATTTAACTTTAATTTGAATAAACTTTATCCAACCTAGTGATTACATGAAAAACTTATTCAAAATATAAATTATATAAAAACTTTAGTTCTATTTCTTTATCCTTGATAAGATATAATATTATCAAATCTTATATTTATGTTTTTAGTAGTAGGGGAACTAAAAAAAACCATAAAAACAATAAACAAGTAAATAAATGTATATAACAAACTCTTAATGAATTGACAAATTCAATTTGATATAAAATTGTGAAAATAAGATATCATTTGATCTCTAAACTTAGAAGTTTGCTTTAAAAAATCAAAAGTCTTTTGAAGGTACTCTACTTAGTAAAAGCAATCCTTTTATAAATCCCTTTGTTGTTGGAAATAGTGCAAAGTAAGAAAGGATCCTATGACATACCAAACTATGATTTTGTTTTAATTCTTTGTATAGAAGCTCATATCTTGATTATAACTAAGAGATTTCTTTGCTTTTCTTTTATTTTCTTTAAACTTTTCTAAACGTTTTTAGCAATTTTTTACAATACTTTTTAAATTCTCATATAAACCATCTTTTAAAATTGATCTGTTGAAAATTTTGAAATGCTACATCATTTGTGCCATGTACGGAAAAAGAACATTCCACTTCATCTTTCTCTCTCACAACTTCTTGATTGATTTTAAGAAGTATAAAATCAACCAAGAAAGACTTTTTGATCTCAATCAATTCCAAACTTCAAAAGTTGTGGACTCCTACCTTTTATCCTACCCTGAGCATATGGACCCCTAAGTCTAAATTGAACTTAATCGAAACAATCTCTATCTGCAACAAAATGCATCTGCAACGCTGCATGGATGGAGCAACATTCAGCACTTGAAAATTGCATCACGCAGTAAAGTTCCAAGGTCATTATATCTTTTCCACCAAATGGAATACCATGATGAAAAAGTGGTCACTAACAAAATCAAACAAAATAAGTCTTTGTCTCTCAGGCTGAAGCACAGCTGCTGCAGATGGTTGACCACGGTGGATGGTTCACCAGTGAGATTCAAGCATCAATAATATTGACAAACCATTTTCCAGAGGTTCATGCTTACCAATTATCAAAATTCAAATATCATGTTTAGGACAAATTTCAAGACCAATTCAATAATATTCTATTATTACAAATTAGTCCTAAACATGTAAATTAGTCCTAAATATGACCATCTATTATTAGAATTTGAAATCTATTAATTTACATATGAAAATTAATAGAATTTATTAATAGAATTTGAAAAACATCTCCTGTCAGAGGGGCTGTGATATATGCAGCTTGGCTCCAGACATGTAGGAGTGGAGATAGAACTGACAATGTCTTCAAATCTGCTAATGCAATCATTTTACTAACATTTCTTTCGCTTGTAATAAGCCCTTCATCTTTTATTGAATTGGTCTTGAAATTTGTCCTAAACGTGTTATTTTGAATTGTCCTAAACATGTCATCTATTAAGAGAATTGTCCTATGTAAATTAGTCCTAAACATGACAATCTATTAATAGAATTTGAAATTTGTCCTAAACATGTCATCTATTAAGAGAAATAGAAAAGCTTATCGACTGCTCCACCGAGGGGAATGCTTCATCAACAGAATATGAACAAAATCTCCACAATGTGCAAGGAAACCAGATAGCAGTTGCAATCAGATTAAAAACCAGCTTCCAACGTCATTCCCTTAACGTATACATTCATGGATCATCTTTTAAAGTAAAGCACACCTTCAACACTCAAGATTATCATTTATCTTCTAATAACTGCTAAATCTCAATAAACTCCATCGGAATAAAACTACAACATACCATGATAGAAGAAGAAGTGCAGACCTGTACTAAAAGGTATAGTTAAATTGGTACTTCAGAATAATGAATCTGAAGCATCTCTCTCGGCATCGTCCCTTCTACACCTGGAAAACCCTGATGACTTACTTCATCCCCCGATGGAGTACAACGAAAAATCTTAGCAAAAACAATGCGACACTTAACCAGGGCACACTAAACCTGTCCGACAACATCACCCCTGCAGAAGCTCGTCACAAGCGGTACGATCACAACACACGACTCCAATCCAAGTCGACACTCTTCACATACACAGTACAGTAACACATAAGCAGAGACCTAACCCTCACCATCCTCAATACCAACGTTCTTCCAACCTTCGTTGGCCTTCAAACCGGTCACACGAAATCAGTTACTAATGCCAGGAACCAAAAGCGACGTCCATCGCGTCTCCGACCGCGAAGATGTTGAACAACTGTTCAAAGAAAGCATCACAAGTGCAGACGGTACATGACGCACAGCATGACCAAAACATTGCAAAGTGGATGAGTGTGGAACAAGCGACAACCAGACAAACGTAGAAAAATGTGTGTTCCATAACGAGTGCGCGTCTTTCGAAACAGACTTTGCTGCGAGGGAGTCGCTAGACCAAGAGTTCTACAGCAGGACCGTCTAGTTACGACAACTTCCGTTTATGGCTGCCGTGTATAGAATCTTCTAGGGCATCGTATTTTGAAGTGCCATCATAGGATCGGGAACTTTGGGGAACGCCAGCGTTCATTTCCTTAGCCGATCCACCCGGTTAGGTTCTGCACAACATGCCTTCATCGCTTCAAATGGTTCATTCACACTTAATGGCTTCGTGCAGTATTTTAAACATAGTATTTAATGTTTGATTTTAAGATTTGCGTAACCCTGTAATGAAGAATAGTGTAGATTTTCAGGATGTAATGTAAATTGTACATGATGTGAATGATGTGAATCTGGAAGTCAAAGACAACTGTTATGATTTTCTCGGATACGGAAGGACAAACAATGTAGAACTAAACAAGGGACATTGATAAGCTCTTTTATTGACCAAAATTGCAATTATATATCTAGTTTATGATGCGTTATTTGGAGTTTACAATCAATTTTGTTTTCGAAGCTGGAGAGAATCTACTAGAGCTCACTTAAAATTAGCATGTGATGTCGACAAAGCAAGAGATTATTTCTTCGCTCAATCACACAAGTCACCACTGTTAAATTATATAACACAAGAACACCAAAGAGCAAGATATTAAAAACATGTCAAGCAGCCTGAAGATAGAATGATCCGCTTATCACTTTATTTATTATAAATTTATAAATTTTTATATAAAAAAAATCATATCCTCAAAGAATTTATTAGTGAACCTATTATTGTCTTCAAAACAAAATACTAGAAAAGATAGATAATATCGTTTCCTTTAATACATGCCCAAAAAAAGAATATATATGGTCTTACTTAAGTCTGTAGTGTTATAAATTACAAACTGTATTATTTTTGAAAATAATAACAATAACGATAATAATGATTTTAATGTAAAGATGCAACAAGACTATAATTTCTATATATAAAATGTAAATATTCAATTACAAAAAATGTTACAATGAAAGATTTTTTAAAAAAGGAGTCAGCAATTTTAGGATTACTATCAAAAAGCCTTGAGATTGATGTCAAATCAGTGAATGATAGAATTGTAGTAGTGCTTACATGAGGAATAAGCCATGGGGTTAGGCTGAAGTGCTGGGAGCAACACAAGAGCTAAATGAGAAGGTCCATGAACTTACAGTTTGAACTACCAACATCCAACGGGTTGCATCCACACTTGGGATCGACCACGAATTGAGAGCGTCACGTGGTGGCGATGGTGGCGACAGTGGCGATCTGATTGACCAGGCCAAATTCGATGGTGTCCGGCTATGGAAGGGGCATAATTACCAGCCGTTAGGTGCTCCGGAAAGGTGGAGTACGCTCCTTGCTTACCGGTTGTTGGTGAAGGGGAGATAGTGGATGTCAGACTGGTTTACAAGCAAAAGTCGAAGGAGAACAATAGTGCAATATGACTGTGCTCATGGGTACTGAAACCAAAACCATTTTCTTTTCCAAGAATTTAAGGCGGGAACGTGGATGACGCCATGGCGGATCTGTGATGTCCTGTAGGTGTGCAAATCGCTGCACCTTTCACCGAGTCAATGCTCTGGCTATGTTCACTTCCATTTTTTCTTTTGTCGCAGCGCGAGTGTGGATTCCAACATAATGATTCATGAGTCGCTTGGAGCCGTGTGTGTCCAGCACTCTGTGCGGACTCCCAGAGAAACAGTGCAATTTCGCGGGCCCGAGTTGAGGAACAGTACATCAAGGATGCGCTGGGAGATATTAATAATGCGGACTTTTGGTTTCGTGTCAAGAAGTTTTGGCAGCTGGAAAAGTTTGGTGATGTAAGCATCCCGGAGTACTGAATTGCTGGGGAATGGTGGATAATTGCACTTCTGAATGCATGGAGTATTGCCCGAGTTAATGCGAAAAGTGTAGCAAAATTCTCTTGGATAGCCTGGCCCTTGTATGAAGCAGTATTACAAGGTTGGAGGATGTCTGCCGTCAAGTGTGTAAACACTACGCCATGACGATGAAGGTCCATTAGAGCTCTTCGAAGCGACTCATAGTGAAGACTGTGCAGTAAGGATTCGATGCGGATACTGCTGTTAGAATGTTAACGGGAATGATGACAATGGCGAAGTGCTAGAATAGCAAGTTGCTACTTCAAATTGAGTGAAACGGCCGTCTTTTCCATTTTGGCGTGGAAGCTACTTGTTGCCCTTTCGTGTGCCTGCACAGTTCCTAGTTCACCAGGATGAAATTGCAACCTACTAGAAGCCGATGGTCTGCTCCATGAATATCGCACTGATATCTTTACAATACCTCCCCGTGATACAGCCGCAAAAGTTTAGCTGTCGGTCTACCTTCCGCTGCTTGATAGCTCAGTGCTGTCCATGCTTTAGAACAATTTGTACTATGGAACTTTGCGTGATGAACCTAACCCGCGCTTACATTCATTATTCAAAGGAGCAGAGGGAGAGTTTGGTTTAATTTGACACTAGTTCTTAGTAAGGGGCATAGTAAGACTCCTTTGACGGATCGTGTAGCTGTCCACAGACGCACTCTTTCTTCGGTACATTTAATGTCAATATTAAGGGGGTTGTGCAATCGTCACATTTCACCGTAACAACTCCGTGAAATGTTGTACGAGAAGGTTAAGCAATTAACTGTTGAATAGATCAAGGTCAATTTTCTTTTTGCACCACTCGGATGCCGTGGTGTGTACATAAATTAAGAGTGATTGTAACAATTTTGACGGCAGATGAGATGGAGGACAGGTACAAGAAGCTCCGAGAAGTGCAGTATTGATCCATGACTTCTCATTTGCCGCAGCACAAACAGGAAGACGTATCGGTACACCAAACCAATCATGGCTTACACCATGCTGAAAGGACGAAATCATCTCAGAGACTATCCAGGTACACCACTCCCAAGACGAGCTCATCATAAAGCTGCTCCTCCACTAGATGTTGGCATAATCCCGGGGAATAGATTCTTACTTCTGCCTCTGAGAAGAGTGTCAAAGTTTGTTCGTCATCGGTGCCATGGATCATCTGCAACTTCTACCAAAACATGTATTTTACAGACAGCCACAACAACATCTCGGTCTGCCGTATTTCAAACTGGAACACCGTCTATTGGAAAGAGGACTAGAAACATCGATCACTGCGAGAACGACCTGAACAGTTTGCGCTCTACAGGAAGCACCCCGAAGAAGTTCACTAAAAAAGTTTGCATGAAGCAGAGACGTATTCATCATCCTACTTTTGTGAGGACTAGACTTTCACCTGTTTCAGAGAAGGAGAATGTAGAGCAAGAAGAGAACCTCTTTGAGAATGTATCCATTCTTGATCATGTGCGGAGTTGGAATGTGGATGAAACACCAGTACATAGTCAGGAGAGGGTTACAGAACTACGCAACGTAGATGATCAAGTCTTGGGTCTTGGTAGACAGGTCAATCAGGAAGGAGCAAAGAATCTGCAGAAAACTTCCAATCTAGTCAGCAAGGAAAAGACACGACCAAAGACAATTTGTGGCAATGTTGGCCATAGGTATTTGAGCGCTAGAAGAGTGCTCAATCAGCGAAGAGACTCACTTAGATATGATAATCACGACGGAGTTAGCAACACAAGTCTCAAGCATGATATTCTCGCAATGTTTCATTACATATCTAAGTTACGATCAATTTCAGGATGTTTCTACAACACCTGCAATGATGAATTTGTGCAGCAAAATTCAAGTTTGCGAGGGAGGCAAATTCTACCCTCATCAGCGCTTGAAAGAGTGCATGATGTTCCAAGGGGCGTCACAGAGAGCGGTTATATATCACCGGTATTGGTTGAGCTAAAGCTTAGAAACAGAATAAAAAAGCCAAACTCTCAACGATCTAGCCGCATATCCAGCGGAATCATAATGCTGGGTTCTGGTGTCAACTATATCAAGTGTAATGATTCAGCAGGACGCACCAAACACCTTTCCAAGCCCAAGAGCGCTACAATCGTGGGGACATCTTTGGGTCGACCTACTGAACTTCTAAAGCAGCAGGTAGTTCGAAAACGCTTAGAAGAAGCTATTAAGAGAGTTCTCGTCAACAGAACTTGCAAATCGCATGGAGGTCCACTGCGAAAGACAGGTCTTATAATCTTTGATCAATCAACCGCAAATTGCAACTATCATTTGGGAGAGCCAGAGGAAGAGGAATTCAAGGGATGGATCGATTTAACCACAGCCTCTGAACGCAGTGTTCAGACCGGTCAGGAACAATTTGGAGGAGAAGCGGCCTTAGGAAAAACACAGGCCCAAAGCTCTGAACAATGCAGAGTAGTTGCACAGCAGCTTCAAAAGCCAAGGAAGAAACTACGTAACGCTCTTCCAAGAATTCACACATCTGAAAGGAATAAGGTACGGTGCTCCTCTAGGCCAGTGAGACATGGAATCTTTCAAAACACGAGCATCGGCCATCAGTTCCCACCGTATGCTCATATGTCAACAAATGATGCTGAGGTTGTGGAAGAACTTGGGCGATGCAAAGCAAAGAGGCCTGAAAGCAACTCCCAGGTTCGGAACCTAACATATTTGAAGGGATACCTTGATTTATCTTCAAGGGAGAATGATTTGCCGATTGGGCCGTTACACGCACATGAAGAGCAGATAGGAGTGGCGGAGTGATTCCTTGATTGCTTAATTTGGAACCGTAGTCTTCCAAGAGGCAGACTATCTTCCATAACCTCCTTTTTGTGAGCTTAACAACAGGACATTTTAACCAAAACTTGCTGGTGGTGTCCAAATCAGGTGACATGTTTCAATTCTTCATTGATTTGTTGATGTGGAGGTTTTGATTGACTCTTGGTCATGATCTTGCAACTTGGTGATATTTTTGCACTTGATACTATTGTGGGTTTGGTTATGAAAGGTGAAGATGAGCACAATGATTCCGAGTCTGCTTAAATGTTGTGCATCATAGAACATTCAAGTTGAGCTTATCCTAATTATGTGCTTGCATGCAACACATCTAGAGGTACATTTTTTTTACAGTTATATTACCTATTTTAGCTCATTAACA